CATCCGTCAAGAACATGATGGGGATGGAGGGTTGTTTAAAGCTGAGACAGAGGCAAATGTCCGGGTTGAAAGAGCTGAAAATGATCTGCCTGTTTTCCGCGAGGTCGTAGACCTTTGACAGGACCGTGTCGCAGAAGGAGTTGAGCTCGACTGCGTAAGTGTCCATGTCGTGCTCTTCGCTCTCGTGAAGCATGGGGTATTTCATCTCAATATTGAAGCCAATGTGTCCTGGCAGTTGGCAGAAAAGATCCTCCAACGTCGCGAAGGGCGCTTGAATGAAGTTACCACGCGAATTGGCTTTGTATCCCTTCTCCTTGAAGTCACGGGTGTGCTTCATGCGCTCATCCAGAACCGTGTTTTGCTCGCCCACAAAGCCCATAGATTGTGACCGTTGCCGCGGCCCAGGTCCATTGCCGTGAACCCGCATCTTCTGAATCGACTCATGAACCAGCTCATGGACATTGTGGCGCTTGGCGTCGGGGTTGATGTGGAGAAATTGCTCAAGCGTCAGGGTATGGACTGGTGCGTCAATGCCCGTTTCACTGACGAGGAAGTCATGGTAGATGACAGGGACGTGGTCCTTGGTCAGTTGTACGTCAAACTCAACATAGTTTGCTCCAAGATTAGCAGCCGCAATGAACGAAGGGACTGTGTTCTCGCCTAGCTGAAGGGACTTGTTGGACGTCAGGTTCTTGCCAAGTCCTCGATGGCCGATCACCATTGTCGATGTCAGTTTCTTCCAATAGGTTTGGTGAGAGTTGATCTCCATGTTGGGATGAGAGAAGGGCGTTACCACGAGGAAGTTAAAGTTGACCGTGCCAATGACCTCCAGATTGGCTCCCATGATGGGCACGCAGACATCGCCTTGCAGGTTCATCCTCTTGAGGCCAATCGTCGGTTTGATAGAGGACAGGAGGGCCACGGCTCGTCCAATTTTGTTTTTCTCATTGCCCGAGTACGTGGGAACAATGTCGAACATGAGCTTGACCTTGGTGATGTCGCCTGCCATGAACACAATGGGCTCGGTGCTGATGTTCTCATGCACAGGCAAATCAATGATGGTCGGCTCACCAGTCGCGCCGCTTGCTGAGACCACAATAGATAGAGCCGTATCCAGTTGTGTCAGGTGAGCCTCGTTAAGTGGCACGCGCTCAAGCTTGACGGCGTCAACATTTTTGCGCATGTCCATCGAGCCCAGACTGACCAAGACCAAACTCTCATTGGTCAAGTAGCGATGCCCGAATGTCTTCACAGGTTCAGCGGGGCGAGCCGCGCCGTTGGACTTGCGTCCATCAATGGAGGACAGCTCAGGGGAAGACGGCCGACTCCCGCCATTCGGACTTTCGCTAATGGGCTTCAAAGAAGGACTCGGGGCATCGAGATTCTCCGGAGCGCTGGTCGCGAGCAGCCTAGCAATGTCCAGGTGTCCTCTCAGCGCAGCATGCTCTTTGGCAGTCCAGCCGGATGAATCGGGCTTGGTGATTTTCGCGCCAGCATCGATCAACAGCTGGACCATGGCTAGATGACCATCAACAGCAGCAACATGGAGTGGCGTCCAGCTGTACGTGCTCTCCATGATCTCCGTGTCGGCCTTCTGCTCGCTGGTCCCCTTGAGGAGGACTTTTGCGCAGTCATCGTGGCCGAAGCGTGCAGCGAGATGGAGCGCCGTCTCGCCAGTCTTGTCGCGCCAGTTGATGTCGACACCAGCCTCCACGAGCATCTCGACGATGACTTTGTAGTTGAACTTGGTGGCGAGGGCTAATACCGCGCCAGACTTTGCGATCTTCTTCCTCATTTCTGTCTTGTTCTCGTGGACGCCCTGCCAGTCTTCGCCTTGCAGGAGAGCTTTCGTTGTGAGAGGGTGACCGCCAATGACGCTGAGGTGCAACGGGGCGTAGCCTTCCTTATCCTGCCACTTCTCTGCATCTATGCCATCCTCGACATTGAACTGCCCCCATTCTTGCATCTTGGCCATGATGATTTGGCACACAACAACAAAGCCATACTGCGCCGCATAGTGCAGCGGAAGACGACCGAAAGAGTCCTTCAAAATGAGCCCTGCCTGCTGCTCTGGCGATAAGTGGTCAAGGAGGAAAATGAGGAGCTGCACGGCCTCGTCGTCCTTGTGCAGAAGTTTGGTTTCATTCTCGTTTAGGACCCTGGTAAGGCTCGAAGGCGAGACAGCTGGCTGTATGTACTGAGAGGTAAAATGCGTACCGACAGGGAACGGATATGCCGTGGGCTCCTGTGAGGGTGACGGCACCTTGGCACGACCGATGTGAATGACCAGCCGGTGGATGCAGGTGCGGCCGTTGATGTCATCAGGCTCCTGCAGAGTGCGCACCTGCTTCAGCAGGTATGCGATGCTAGTCCTTGACCGCGCCGAGACTGAGCGCTGCAGGAGGTTGAGCATGAGGCTCTGGGACGAGGAGTCAGCCGCCACCTTGCCTTCCTCAAGGGTTCTCTGCAGCACTTCGACGTTGTCGCTCCGAATGGCGTGATCGAGGTTGTCGAGGAGGGCTTGGGGCAGCGTAAGCATGGCTTTCGCAGAGGCTCGACCCAACGACCGAGTCGAGCGGTCAGACCTGGAATCATCAAGGGACAGGGTCTGAGCCTCTGAGAGAACAGAGAGCCATTTGTTGATCTCGCCCAGGAGCCGCATGGCGTGGCCGTCTTTGGCGAAGGGGAGAACGTCGACCTTGGTAGAGAGATAGCGGTGCTGGGTGCTTGTCTCCGGGACCTTCTTGTCGAGCTTCTTGGTGATCTTAACGAAGCCTCTGCGGTTAATCTCACCAAACCAGACGAGGTTCCTGAGCTGCGTGCGAAGGTCAATCAGGGCGCCCATGAGTTCGCTGATCTCATCCTCATCGAGAGTAGACACGACATCGGGAACCCGGCCATATCTGTCGTGGAGCAGATTCAGACGGCGAACGGCATCGCCGAATTTCTTGTTGTAGAAAAAGTCGACATCTTCCAGGTTGCGGTCCAGTTCATAAAAGAATCCTGGATTCGACAGTTAGGGGAGGGGCTCGGCCCTGGCGAAGGAACCAAATGAAGCCCTACCTGCAAGATCAACCTCCTGGCCGGACTTGGCCCGTTCGGCGGCGCCTTTGATGAGTTTCTTGAGGCCCTTGTAATTGATGTAGTAGGCTGCCCATTCAGGCACCTGATTCCGGGGGAGGCTGGAGCTGCTGTCAGATGGGCCTTTGTGAGAGGAGGGAAGAGCCGCCACGGGGGCTGTGAGTGAGGGGGCCAAGACAAGCGGGCGCATAGCATCAACTCACTTCCTGCCGAACTTCATGGTCAAGGGCCGACCCGGTCGTTCTTGCCGGGTGATAGAGAAGCGTGGTCAGTCCAAATAGGTTGTTGGTGTCAAAGATGGTGTCCAGAGGGGTGGAGATGAAAACTAGGCTAAGAAAAAATTGAAAAGACAAACGAGTCCTGGTAGACCGTTAGCAACCTGCCCGTTGCCCTCCGGATGCGTCTTGATGATTGATAAGTAGACGTGAGAAAGGTGAACGACACAGTGTTCAAGAGGACAGAATATCAATGCTTGCGCAGGTTGCTGTAGTGGTGGTCCGTGGCAGGATCAAGTGCCGGCGGCGGCGCGTTTACGAAAGGGGAGGATAGCAGTTGGAAGTCAACCGACCGTGTTGTGGAGCCTGCAGGCAATATGCGAGGACCAGGTCCAGGTTCAGGCCCGGGTTTGGGTCCAGGTCTAAGAGAGGCGAGACAATGAACTCAATCCTGACAGACGAGGTTCAGAGTCGGTGAGCCAAAGGCAGCTGATCGTGAGATGAGGGCGGCGTAAAAAGGGGAAGGCGCGGGAGCTCATTCAATATTTGGGTCTCGTGACCTATGGCCTGGGTCGTGCTCAAAGGGAGCCGTCGTGGTGACTGGGCATGAGATCATGTGCCATTTCTCATTCTCGTGAACTCGGCCCCCCCCTGGTCTCAAACCAAACCGAGTCAGGAGTGGAGGAAGTGCTCGTGGGGTTCAAGGGCAGCCCCCCCCCGGATCTAGCCAAGGTAGTCTCCGCAAGATCCGAGTCCAGCGGCCAAGCGTTCCTGTTCTTTCTGGTCCCCGGTTGCTGGAGCTGAGGCTGAGGCTGGCAAGGCGCAGGCCACGGCAAGAGGAGAGTGGGAGGGACACGGGATGTGTAGTATCGTCTGACGTTGAGGTTGAGGTTGAGGTTGTGTACTAAAAGGATGGATTGACCTGTAGGGTGGATGTGACAGTAGGAGAGGCGTGTGAACGTTTAAATCAATGACAGGCGGTGGTTACCAACGACTACTTAAGGGTCCAGAGCGGCTACAGAGGTTTCTCCTGGAGACGCACTCTAGTGAGGGCGCTCGCTGTGTTCGCCGTCTGAGGACCGAATCAGTGAAGGCAGCGACGCCCCCGAGTCTCTCGAAGCTGATCGTTGGCGGGGGCAGGCCCCCTCTAAAGTTGGCCCAGGGCGTCTCTCTACGGCCCCCACGGGCTTGGTCGGCTGGCCAGTCAATGTGCCAGGCTCACCTCCCGTGCATTCCCTTCGCCTCCTGGTTGGCGCCGATGACGAAACTTGGCCCACTTCACGAACAGGCTTTGCATCGTACCGTCTTCCACCGCCAGTGATGTGCGCACGCCGCCGTCAACCTAGCTCACCTATCTGAGATCCAGGAACGTGGGAGCTTCACATAATGTGTGCCCCCCCCCCCCTCATCACTCCTCGCATTCATGAGGCGTTGGTCGACTGAAGGCAAAAAGACGTGCCTCACAGCCATTGGCACAAAGCCGAGACCGGTGACATTCTGCTCGTCGATGATGATGATATGGATTGGTAGGGTGGGCATGTCAATTCATTGCTTGCAGACAGACGGCCGAGGGTCGGGTCTGGTTTGTTGTGAATTTTCTTATTCGTGCTGCATCCGCTATACGCTGCGCTGCGTTCTATTCGGAACAGCTTGAGCACTGGAGCTTCTATTCTTCAAAACGCTCCGTTCCCATGTTGTGTTACAAGACATTGATCGCTACCGTCATGACGTGAAGGAACCAGTCTGTTCCGTGTCCCACGTCCCATATCCTATTTCCAACAACCCCCACCCCGGTTACGAGCCAAAGGCTGAGCAGCTTCCCATGTGCGCCTCAACCTGTGGGGGGATGAAGCTCATCATCGGTGCTCTTCCCCGAGCTTCGTACGTTGTAGGCACTACTGCCTTCTCCGCCCGCGACGGCGGAGGTTGGGATGCTTCAATCGTCGCCTCAGCGTCCTTCAATGGAGACGAGGGTGGCATGACAAGACCCCTTAAATGCCCCTCCGCGGCAGACGCGAGCGCTTCCAACTTTTCTTGCGCCACTTCAACCTTGCGCCTGACAACAAGCACCTGCAGGGCGCCTTGCCGTCTCGTCCTGCTCATTCCCATCCCCGTACCCGTACTGGGCGACTTGAGTGATGGGAAGATCGAGTCGACTGACGTCTCTAGCTCGCAAATGTCGAACAGCCTCTGAAGCCTGCTTGACAACATATCGCGCTCCGCTTTGTTTGAGTGGCCCAAGCCGTATACTGTGCGCGTTCTTCTTCAGCGCTGTAATCATCTTCCACGCTACATCCTCGTCCAGCGCATGTGCGCATTGATCAAGTGTCTGCAGCACTGTTTGTGTCCAGACATGGATACCACGATCCCAGCAGAGCTTGATCAAGCCCGTTGCTTGCCGCAAGCAGTCGAATGACAGCATGCCCTGGATGATGGTGTTCAGTATGTCGCGGCTGAACCACATTCGTTCCACGAAAGCGTCGTCGCGGTATGCGACGTCCTTTCTCCTGGCCCACGTTTGCAGTGAAAGCCACGCCTGGAGGTCTTCCACCCCCCTCTTCTGTACATGAATGCCTCGGGGATCGCGACCCGTAAAGCGATCGACGAGCTTGTGGAAACGGACCAGGTTGCCTTGTTCCTTGTAATGGTTGAGCATGCACACCATGGCTTGCTCAGTCGGCGCTGTCCTCGAGGCATAGAGGAAGTGCCTGACAGCCGCGTTCGATATGGCGTGCTTTCCCATCCGATCGAACCCCAAAATGAGGGTGCTGATAGTGTGGATCGTTGGAGGATGAGGTGACACCAGCAGGTTGTAACACACTTTGGTGACGCTGTCTCTGATGTCGTGAGTTGCATCTCGTCGTAGTGCCGCCTGTGACGAAGCCAGAATCGCCCTCAGGCTGCGGTTGAGTTCGATCGTGCCCTTGACCATATCGTGACCTGACGTCTCGAAAAGAGGATATGACTTTTGTTTCAGCATCGTCCGAAGTTCGGTCTCAGAGGCCGTCTCGGCAGACCGATCCAAGCGTCCATGCCTAGTGAGGTTGCCGAGATCTGCTGCCCTAAGAAGCTCGACCACGAGCGAACGAACGGCATGTTGCGCAGCGATCAATTGCTTTCTGGTTTTCGGCACGCGATGGGCGATATTCGGGTTTTCTTCTTCCTGTTGCAACCTCTGCTGAAGTTGTTCGTAGTCCGACGCGGATGCTGCCGTGGCTGACGGCTCCAGTTCAGGTAGGCCAGACGTTCGCAGCCATCTCTCCAGCTCAGCCGATCGAGGGCCATTTCTTAACCACGTCGATGTATCGCCCAGGCCGTCCAGATATTGTGAAAAGCCGCGTTGTTTCTTGTAGTCGTACCACATGCCGTCGCTTCGATTAAAGATATCGGACGGCGGCGCGGGCTCGGACTCGAGGTCCGATGCTGGTATCGGCTCGAGTAACCTCTCCAGGTCTGATCTGACTTCGGCCAATTGACGGTCCAATTCTTTCCGCCTCACATCCTTTCTCCTGGCATCGTACATGGCAGCGGTTCCCATAATGGATGTGTAAAAGGCCGTGAAGAACTCGCCAAACGTCGGTTTTCGTCGCGGGACACGGGTCGTCGATTGTCGAATCATGCCACTGGCGGCAGGCAGGCAGCCCTTGCAGCCGCACAAGCGCACCTGGCCTGCTCTAGACCAGAGCGCTTGCATTTTGTTGGCATCTGAGTTCGCAAGTCGCGTGCGCGAGTGAATTGGTCGTTCTGCGAGATGATCGGGGCTGGTCACGCTGATAGGATCGTGCTTGAAGTGATCATTCGATTTCTGGAGATGGAATCATGAGCTGGAGAAGTTAGTAGCCGGCTAGTGCCCCGCATATGCATTATGCGACTGGAGGGGCGTGCCCCGCCGACCAGTCTCGCTCGCAGGTTCAACAAACCCCCGCCATGATGTCGAGGGAAATCAATATTTGAACCCAGCCACGACTCTTGACAAGCTCACTCTCCTATTTTCCAGACAAACAGTCGTTCAGGCTCTCGGAATTTCTCAATATGTTCGCGTTAATGCTCAAGGCTGAATTGCAAGGGTATTTCGAAACCCATTCCGGACTCACGTATAGACCTGTGATGAGCGCCCACTAATACGAAACTAGGATCACCAATCTTCGCCCCGACGATAGCGAGGAGAACCCCTTCTGGTACACTTTCAAGGTCCAGTGCACGTCATGCCGTGAGACGCACGCCAATACCGTCGGCGTCAGCCGTTTCGTATGATACCTCACAATTCCCACAGGCGTTTCCTCCTAACCGCTATCAGGAAAACAACGAGATCAGCGGAAGCCGTGGTGAGGCCAACTTTGTGTGGAAGTGCAAGAACTGCAAGCGCGAATCTTCGGCCACAATCAAGGCCGCTCCCACCTCATATGAGCAGGCCGAACCCGCCAAGGCGCAGAAGCTCCTCGAGTTCGACTGCCGAGGCCTCGAATTCACCGAGTTCGTGCCCGAGGGCGAATGGCTCGCTGACGCGATCGATACAAAGACCAAGTTCAGTGCCATCGAGCTTACAGACGGAGAGTGGTATGATTATGACGACAAAGCAGGCGAGGAGGTTAGCATCAAGGATCTGGTTTGGGAAATCAAGCGCTCTTAATTCTACGACCGATGACTACAGTCTCGCCTTTGAGCTCAGCACGTAGCATCACATGAGTTCTGCCGTGAACATCCCATTCCCTTTATACACCGCTCAAGGGCTACCGGTATTTTGACATCAAACAGTGCTTTGTGCGTACACGCGTGTGAATTCGAACAACCTTCCAACAGCGTAATGAGCAGCTGTTGTATCAGCCGTAATAAGGGCCAGACTATAACGACATACCACACTGTGAAGAGTCACAACCCGCCGAAGGACTCGATAAAGGAATCAGAGAAGATCTATCAATGGGAAAATTTGAGGCTGAGTGTTCAAAAGCACACGAGAGGAAGTCAATCAAGCAAGCACTTTGATTTACAAATGATGTGTTAATAAGCATAGCACGGTGAAGCGACAAGTAGTGTGTGAAAGCTCTGTAAGCACACGATGTCCGGACGAGCACCAGGCGAGCGGCTGACGAATTCTGGACTGGAGTACGAGCTGGCGAGAGAGATGCGTCAACTACAAGTCCACGTAGCTCCGTGGCTGTTTAGCAACGAAGAGCACACCATGGGCGGCAGGAGTGAAACAGTGGCACCAAAATTTGGCACTCTAGTACGATAGTACGTAGTAGGATCGTGGCGAGTTGGATGGTCAGCACTCGAGTTTGGCATCGGCAAGGCAGCGTGGCCATGTAGCCATACACAGAGAGGCAGACACCGGAGCACTAGCGATGCAGATCATTGAGTCATTTCTATAGCAATCCCCTTGGTATAATATACATGCTACCAGCTTCCTTTACAGGAAGTAGTCGCCAGGCCCACGACGGTTCGCAGGCACATGTCGTTGCTCGTCAGGCACTGCCGAAAAGATGCTGAACTTCGGGTTCATCTCTTTATCAACGGTCATTATTGAGGCAACATTGCCGCAGCGGTAACAATAGTTAGGCGCGGACCAGACGGTGACGACAGAGTTCTGCTGGAAGTGGTACTGCCGAGAATATCAATATGGGCGGCAGGGAGAAGCGGGGGGAAAGGCATGACGACGTACTTTGTAGCCTTCATTGACCAACTGATGCGCTCTGGCGATCAACTTGAGGCCGTTGACATGGTTGAACTCGGTGGCGACCTTGTCGCCAAATAGCCAGCCGGCGCCGCGGGGACTGATTGCCCACGTCTCGACGTCCTCTGGATCAGACCACACCAGATCACAGAACGCACCCTCATGGGGGATCTCCTGGGCTCTCGCAACAACACGAATCTGATCAATTGTCCTGATCTCGGGACTCAAACCACCGTGGACGCACAGAAGCTCCCCGTCGACGATTGCAGCAAGCACAAGGAAGTCAAAGACGTGGCAGCATGCCTTCCATACCGAAGCATTGCCGTACTTCTGCTGACACTCTTCATAAAAGCCGTAGACTTGGGTGATCTGCCGAGATTCGTGGTTGCCGCGGACAAGGACGATTCGATCGGGGTATCTGTCGATGATTAGAAACTTGGGCCTCAGCCAAAGGTCTCACTTGGCAACTCACTTGGCCTTGAGGCACATGAGAAGTGTAAACGTCTCCAGACTGAAGTAACCTCGATCAACAAAGTCGCCAAGGAACACGAATCGTGTGTCCGCTGATTGTGAAGAAGTCGCTACCTCAATAGCAGAGTCAGGGCGAGGCGATGTACCGAGATCCTCAGTCGCGTCTTCGTCCGCATCAGTCATCGTTTCGTCAGAAGGCTTGCTTCTGATCTTCTTCCTCAGCTTGGGATTGGTGATCTCTGTGGGAGGCTCGATATCCTCCGACGTGATGATACTGGTCGAAGTCTTTGGCGCTTCTACATTGGACTCGCCAGGCATACCACCAGCGACGCGAAACAACTCTAACAAATCATAAAACTGTCCGTGGATATCTCCACATACTGTAACAGGTGTGCAAACAGGCTGGATGTTGGACTCTGGGTTTTGGACGTCAGTAATGTAGTCTCCGTTGAGTTGAAGAGCTCACTCACCCTCCATAAGAACCTCCTTAACCATCTCACAGAGCTCCTTCATTGCCCGTTCCGGTAGATAGTGGCACTGCTTGGCTTCCTCAAGCCACTCATCAAGGCCCGCATTCGCAGTGAGGTTGGCCGGGCCGGGCCTCGGGATATGGCTAGCCATGGCGAGGGTTAGTGCAGGACAGTAGCTGTCTTGCTCTTCTCGCTCTTCTTCTTGAGTCCGAAGAAGGAACGAGAGTGCTTGATGCCACCAGAAGAGCTGCGCTTCTCGTTGCTGCTTCCGCGATCAGTGCTCCGTGAGCCGGATTTGCCAGTTCCCGCAGTACTTCTAGTACTACCAGCGGGGGGAGGACCTTGATCGTCACGGCGTTCCCAGTCGCGAGGACGTTGCGAGTTGAAGAGGCCGATGGGCTCTTCTTCTTCTTCGTCCTCGTCTTCGTCAACAGACGCAACTCCTTCGTCAGAACCTTCCTCAGAGACAGAAGGTAGTCCGGTGGGTCCCAAGACTGCTGCACTTGGTGTGCGGCCTTTCTTGCTGTTCTTGGAAGGGACGTCTTTATTCGATGAGCCCTTCGAAGACGAAACTTGGGACGAAGCGTGCTTGCGATCAACGGACGACGACAAAGGGGGCAAGAGCAGCGATTGCGCAGGGAAGGACCGCGTGAGCGCCGGACGGTCCGTGGACGACGAGGGCAACGACCGAGGAGTGCGCGCGACGACTTTGTAGCCTATACGGGCAGTTCCAATATGGAACTCTGACTCGTCAGATGCCTCACTGTCGCCAGTGGGCGAGCTTTGCTGATCTTGGTCGGGGGGAGACCTCGGCGGCTGGGTATGCTGTTGACCAGCAAGGGGCTCGGGACGTCTCAGGTGTATAGGGGTGCCGACGGGATATGTTCCAGAAGGCGGCGAGGGGAGCGGTCGAGAGTGCGAAGGGGGGAGAGGCTGGCCTTGAGCTTGCTGGCGTTGCTGTTGGCTGTAGTACTCTTCGGCCTCGCGATCTTGAAGTCTCTGGGTACGTAAGACCTCGCGCTGTTGGTTGATGGCTGAGATGCGAGCTTCGCGATCGGCACGACGATGTTCAGACTCGTCAACGGGGTTGTCGTAAGCTCCGACGGTGATAGGTCGACCTCTACCACGTCCAGGTGCGGCACGGCGGTCAGAGTAGTGGGGTAGAGAGGGTAGGGAGTGGGCTGGTTCATATGCTGAAGAGTGTCCACGACCACGTCCAGAGCCAGAAGCGAGACCACGAGCGCGTGATCCAGTGAGAAGTAAGTCTCGATCGGCTGTGGTACCGAAAAGTGCGTCAGTGTCGGTGAGGACAATGCGCGGGACGGAGGTTCCGAGCTGGGTCGGGTTCGGGGCCTGACTCGGGGTCGATTGCGGTAGATTGAGTAGCGGAGGGGTCGAGTATGATATGGCCCTGCTTCTGTTACGGTTACGACCGGCAGGGACGTTGGTATTGCGTCGGGCGGTATTAGTTCGGGGGTCCAAGTATACTTGGTTCGCGCGGCGAAGGCAGTCCTGGATCTGTTCCTCCGAGAGAGGCTGTAGTTGTGGCTGGCCCTGATTATCTTGATTCACAGGCTTGGCCTCAGATTGGTCTTGGGAGCCAGTCTGTGCTCCATCACCCTTCCCCTCGTGCTTGTCGTCCAGGGGCAGTTTGGGGAATGGAGCCATCTCGGATTATCTTCGGGGGATACGGATTATTGTGAGCGCCGAACTGGTGATAGATTCGCCGAAGCTTTTCCGAGTTTTCGGTGAGGCAAGGTGTGGGGGGAAGGTGCACGGTTCAAGTGGAGATAAGGGAGAGGTCTCGGTGAGTCACTCGGTGTGTGCGTGATAGATCAGACAAGTCACATGATTTGCCTTTATCTGATATGCAATCCAGCCCAATACTGCACACTGCACCCCCCCCACCAGGTCAACCAGGTGCACGCTCCAGAGCTTAAGCCCGTGAAAGGGTGTTCCCGTCGATGCGCCCCACAGTAGTGTACCTCTGCCATCCAACTCATCGCTGCGCCCGTTCTCATCTTCAGGCCAAACTTACGAGTGAAGTGCCGTCTTGCGACTAGGATCAAGCCTGTCTTTATCTTCAATGTATTGGTCAGGTCTCTCACTCGACGAAACACTCCATAGACAACGTCCTTAACGTCATCGCTCACCGTTCTGCTGCACCATCGCCGTTCAACACCTCGCGCATAGGCCCAGACGCTACGTGGCGCCAGGAACTCAACATGCAGGACAGCCAGGCCTCCCGCAAGGCCAACGGTGTTCTGCCCATGCCTGCAAACTCGTCTGCCACCGACGCGCCGAGCGCATCACGGTCCAACAAGAGCAAGACGCCCGTCGAAGGCGACAAGGTCATCATCAGGAGGCTGCCCCCAGGCATGACGGAGCGAGGAAGTCTGGACCATTTTGGGCGACAAGGGGAAGGCGGCAAATGGCCTGCTTGACTTGAGTGACTTCGGCCGGGGCAAGGTGTCGCAAGAGTAGGTTGATGCGGCTCGACAGAAACTATCCTGCGCACGGCTGATCGATGTTACAGCCCGGCCAAGTCGTCAAGGCCCGGTCGGCTATACCTGCACGTCAAGAAGCGCGAAAGCCTGGCGGAGCTCGACGAGATTGTCCAGACGAGGACCTGGGAGGACGCCAAGCTCACCCATAACAACCCATGCCTCGTTGGGCCGCCATCCCTAGAATACTGCATCTACAAGAAGATCCCCGGCGCCAGGAAACGATCCGACGCCAGGCAGGGGACGATCGACCAAGATCCAGAGTTTATGAGTTACCTCCTGTCTCTGACCAACCCGGAGACCGAGAAGGAAGGCGAGACAGGCGAAGATCCGTCAGCGGGAGAGAGCAAGCCGGACACCAAGGTCACGACTACGCCTCTCATCGAGTACATCAAGGAGAAGAAGGCGAACAGGGCGAAGGAGGCCGCTGCAGCAAAGAGCGCTAAGCATGCTCGCCAGGAATCCCAGAGCACCAAGAACAGCAAGGCCAACGCTGACGACGGCAAAAAGTCCAAGAGAGACAGGGACGGCAAATCCAACAAGTCGCCCGAAAAGCCGAAGGAGACGGTGCGCATCCTGACGAAAAAGGCGACGGCTGAGGCGGCCAAGGCTGCGGAGAGTGCGGCGAGCCAAATCAACGAGGCCACGGCGGCGGCAGCTTCCTCTTCTGAGGCCCCGAAGAGCCGACGGGCTAACATTGCGGCCGCCGCACGTCTTCTTCAGAGGGATCTTGGCCTGAGTCCGGGAAGCGCTCATAGGAGGGCGCGACTCAACGCAGCCAAGACAGAGGCCGAATCCAAGACGTCGTCTATCAAGGAGGCCAGCACGGCAGCGAGCGAAGCGACGCCAGCAGCCAGCTCATCCACGCCTAGCCCAGCCACGGCTGCCCAGTCGGCCGAGAAGCCAGCTACCCCGACTGCCCCCAAGTCAGGCCGCTCGCGCCGGGGTGGCGGCGGTGGGAAGAATTCGGCTGAAGCAAAGAACAAGGGGGCGGAAAATACCACCGCACCGGCCGCCTCCGCACCAGCAAAGACGCCAGTTGTCCTCCTGCGGAAGAAGGAAACTGCTCCGGCACCGCAAGCAGCCGCCGCCACCACCGCAGCAACAACGACAAGCGAGACAGCGACACCTGCAGCAGCAGCCGCCGCCGCCGCCGCGGGCCCAAATCGGCCTCGACACCCACAGGTCCCAAGGGCTCAGGCAAGGGATCCGGGTCTAAAAGGTCAGGCGCAGGCGTGACGGCCGGCGCGACCCGCGGCTTCGTCAAGCACGCCAACCCCTCGCAGGGCGTGACCGAGGCCCTGCTCAAGGCGACCCTCGAGACGTTTGGCGTTGTCACCTTTGTCGAGATCGACCGCCGCAAGGGCTTCGCGTACGTCGACTTTGCCGACCACGCGTCGCTCGTCAGGGCCATCACCGGCAGTCCCGTCACCGTGGCCCAGGGCACTGTGCAGGTGCTCGAGCGAAAGGAGAAGAAGCCGGCTGGCGGAGGTGGCGGTGGCGGTGGCGGTGGCACAGCAGCGGCAGCATCGTCCTCAGCAGCCGCATCAGGAACAGGAACGGCAGCGCCAGCCGCGTCGACGACGACTGCCACCCCCGCGGCTTCGTCATCGTCGGGCCCTGCAGAAAAGACGGAGCACACGGGGTCTGGAGGTAGGAGGAACAGACGCGGTCGCGGCGGCGGCGGCGGCGGGAACAAAGCAGCTGCATCAGGAGAAAGCGG